CTGGGTGCCCCGCCCAGCCCTGCCTAACCCTGCCACAGCCCCACACTCTCCCGGGCACATGTGGCGGCCCCAGCCCACCCAGCCCACAGCATAGCCCGAGGCTGCGCGCCAACCAGCTGGCCCTCCCGCCACTCCCCACGGCCCGGAGAGAAGCATGCACAGGCCGCTGCTCATGGTCAGCCCGTGCCCCACACCCTAAGTGCGAGCTCCACGCCCCACGTGCAGACCCCACGCGGTGTCCTCAGCTCACCTCTTCAGCTTCTCCCGAATCGCCGGGCTCTTGATCTCATTCTGCAGGTCATCGAAGGTGTGGGCGGCCGACAGGTTGCAGTAGGCCCGGAAGTCATGGTAGGGGGGGATGCCGTGGTCACGGCCTCGCTGGACATTGATGGCAGCCAAGTCCAGGGCCACCGTGTGCGCCATGGAGAAGAGCCGCTCAGTGAGCTCCGTGTTCAGCAGCTGCGAGGGCATGCGCATCTTCCCCGCCACGCCAAACAGCCCGCGCAGCAGCGGGTCTATGCCGCCCTCGCTCACGATGCGGAAGGGCGAGAAGAAGGCCTTGTGCAGGGGCACGTGGCCCTGCGGGATGGGCTGGAAGTTCTCGTCCAGCCGGTAGAGCACGGGGTTGACGAGCGTGTGGCCGAAGCGGAAGGCGGCCGTGGCGAAGGCGTTGAAGATGCCGGCGTTGACGCGGGGGTCGTAGCCGCGGTAGGGGCCCAGCATGCGCAGGCCGGCCTCGCCCAGCACCTTGGGCAGCCAGTGCTGGTAGGTGATGTGCTGCACCTGGGCGCCCACCACCTTCCTGGCCTCGTGGTAGAGCGTGTCGCCGTCCCAGTGCGGGTTCAGCCGCAGCAGCTCGGCCGCCACGCGGTTGTGCTCGCGCAGCCACAGTGTGTGCATGCTGGTCAGGCCCAGCTGCTCGTTGGCACGGTGGTCGCCGGCCAGGAAGCAGGGGATGGGGCTCTCGCTCTCGTCACGCATGCACTCCGTGGGCGGCCCCGTGGCGAAGGGCAGCAGGGGCTTCCCGGAGCGCTGCACGATGCCCTGCCTCAGCAGGCCCCGCTGGCTGGCCAGGTCGCGGAGGGCGCGCGCTTCGTGGGCCGTGCTGCCGTACACATTGGAGGCGTCCACGTAGGACGTGAGCTGGTTGATCTGCTCCCGCGGGAGCACGGAGTTCATGAGCAGCGAGGTCATGCCACTGCCGCACACGGGGCTGGAGCGCACGAAGAACATGCAGCGGGCACCGCTGCGGGCCCGCGGGTCGTCGGGAGGGATGGCCACGGAGAAGCAGGGCGGGTCGTTGCTGCAGGTGGTGCTGCAGTGCTGCCCGTCAGAGAAGCGGGCCTGGCTCAGGGCCACCACCGTGGAGTCCAGGTCGTGGTCCAGGAACTGGCCCCACTGCATCAGCATGTGCGTGAAGTGCGTGTCCGGGCTCACGGCCTCCGTGCCCATCAGGACGGTGGACACCAGGCGCGGTGCGGGCAGCGGGTGGCCGTGGTGCAGCCGGCGGGGGTCGACGCCGCGGGGCGTGTTGAGCCCGTTGTCGTAGGCTGGCTTGAGCAGGCGCTCGAAGGCGGTCAGCGAGGCGCCCCAGGCAGGGTGCTGCAGGTTGTTGCAGGTGCCGTCGTGGGTGCGGTACTTCTGGTGGAAGCACATGTCCGAGCAGTTGGTCGCGCGCCGGTGGGCCGTGCAGCCCGAGAGGTTGGCGATGAGGCCGAGGTACTGCGGGGACACCAGGTCGTTGTAGCGGTACCCTGGAAGGGAGAGCAGGCCTGCTGACCCGCCCGCCCCAGCCCAGCCCACCGCAAGCTCCGCCATGTGGCCACGGCAGAATGCTTTGGGGCCTGGTCCTCGGCCTGACCGGGTCCCTGCCGAGACATGCTCTCCACCCCACTTTAAGCAGTACTCCAGAGTGGATGGCACTCGGCACAGTCCTGCCCATGCTCCCCACACCTCGGAGCAGCTGCCAGACATCTGCCACACTGCCAGGACTCTGCGGCCTCGCGCTCCACCACCCCGGGTCTGACGCCTCCCGACAGCCCGAGCCCGGACTCTGCTCCTGCTTCCTCTGCTGCCACCGGCTTCTCACCATGGCACCTGGGACCCCACACAGCTGTCCACAAGACAGGTTCAGCGGGTTCAGCCGCAGCAGCCCTCCACGGGGCCACGTCCAGGCCTGGAGAGGCTGCCCTCTGCCCTCGCACCTCAGCCCTTGCTCCTGGCTAGGCGACACTCCCGCCACCTGTGGGGTCAGCCTCCTGCAGCGCTGCCACCCTGTCCCCACACAGAGCTCCAGCGCACGTGAGCTCCCAGGGCCGGCTCGCTCAGAACTCCGTGCCCCGGCTCACACCCAGGCCTCCGCCTCCTCTCCAGGATGTGTGCTGGCCTGCCGGGGTCTGCACACCCCCACGCCTGCACACTCACATTCTCGTGCACACGCCTGAGCCTGCGTGCAGACACAGAAGCATGTATTGCTCACCCTCACCCACACACACGCACATCCCCACAGATAGTGCAATGGCGGCGGCTGGGGGACAAGGCGAGGGAGAGCCTGGACTCTGGGCAAGGCATGGGAGAGCAGGTGAAGCGTACACTGGGGGCCTCGGCTGCTGCGGAACGGCTATGCCCGGGGTGACAGGACATGGGCAGCCAAGGCCACCGCGAGCATCGGAAGGAACAAGGTGACAAGTTGGCTACGAGCAGCAAAGAACCTGAGCTCTGTCCACGCTGGGAGGGGCAGTGGGGCCCTGGACTTAAAGGTGATGGAGTTCTCCTGCAGAAGGGTCTAAACTGGCACTGGCCACCCCGACTGCGCTCACGGAACGTGGAGGAAAAGGGAGGACTGAAAACTGCTGGCCTGACACATGGATTGAGAGACGCCGTGGCTAACCAAAACGGCCCAGCCCGGCAGATCTGCTGGGCGTGGGGTGCTCCCCAGCAGCCAGACTCATCAGTCAAGACTCAGCCATGGGCGCCAGCCTCAGGCCTGCTCACCCTGCTGGCCTCAGGCCTCAGAGCCTAGAGCCTGCCCGCCTGCCCGCCTGGAGCGCCCCGTCCTGGTGCACGGCAGGTGCTCTGTCCGTGGCTCAGGGCCCAGCTGCAGGGCCTCGGCCGCCACGTGGCTACCTGGGCTGCCGAGCCTGGAGGTGGCCAATGCCGGGGCGCACGAGCTCCACCTCACTCTTGGCCCAAGGCTGCGAAGGGCTGGGAGCCCCTCCTTCCCACAGCCGGCCGCGGGCGGGCTCCCCCACCTATACTTATGCAGCCGCGGCCAGGCCGCAGCTGCCAAGGGGACTGTGCTGGGACCAGCGGAGGCACGCAGGCTCCCCCACCTGGTGTCCAGGGCTTCCTAGCCGTCTGTCTGACCCAGCGTGATGCTTCTCAGTCCAGCTCCACTCTCCCCGGAGCACACGCACCCTGTGCCCCTCCCAACCCTCCCCTCTGCTGGAGCCTGACCTGCCTGCTCCTCCACCCACGGCTCCGGAACGTGCCAGACATGCCCCCAGGGCCTGTGCGCATGCCACCCTCAGCCCCCAGCATGGTCCCATTCCTGGAAGGTCTCTGGTCGGTGTCACCGTCTCCATCCAGCCAGGGCTGCATCCGCCTCCTGCTGCTCCTATTCCCACAGGCAGCATGCCCAGGGCTCCCGCTTTGGCCGGTGGCTGTGACCAGACTGGGTGATGGCTGCTCAGTGCACGCACACGCGTGTGGCCGCAGTCGAAGGGCACACTCCTGGAGCTGCTCGCAGCGTGCGTCAGCCTCTCCAGGCCCTGAGCTCTGTGGTGCCTGCAGGCATCCTGTGGGGCTATCTCCAGCAGTGGCAGACGGGGCCGCCCGGTAAGCTGGCAGAGGCCGACGTCCCTCTCGGCAGCCCGCCAGGACAGTCACCCAGGGAGACTGTGGCCAGAGGGACAGAGGCCTCTGGCAGCTGCACGGGGCCAGGTGCAGGCCGCCACACATCCCCTGCCCGT